AGAAGATTATAGACAATATTTACAATGATTATGTTACTTCGCAATATCATTTGTAGTAGTATAAAAAGGTTAAAGGCAATTTTTAGTATGATTCTTGGAGCTAATTCGAATAATTAGAATTGCTTCAAGATCGTCATAGGCAATCATTAATACGATTATTTGTGCTCGGAGCGGCTCTAGGCAAAAGTTCGTATGATTAATTATATAAGGATTTCAGATTTGAGAATGGATATAGAAAAATCAAAGACCAAGATCGTAAGAGAAAGAAAGACGTTCTGTTCTACAAGGAAGGAAGGGAGAAATATATATCGTTATGCCTATATAATTACATAAAAATTGAATCAAGGCATTAAGAGAAAGAAAGATATCCCGTTCCAGGGGGGAGGGGGGAAACCAGGAGCGTATGAGAAATAAGGATCTCTCGCTCCGTAAGGAGGGGGGGGGGGACATATGATCGCAAGAGAAGGAGAGATATCTCGCTCCAAAGGGGGGGGGAGGCTGGAGATATATATCGTCGTGTTTATATAGAAATTGAATCAGGCGGGAGAAGGGAAGGAGGGGCAGGGGGGGGGTGTCGCCGGACGTATTCATATATTCCTTCTAGAAAATATTAGAATATCTTATGGAATAATCTATAGAATATATTTCAGAATATCTTGTAATATATTTATTTCATATAATATATTATATATATATATTTGAGAGAGGCACTTCTAGGGTCTACTTGTCGTCTTATTTCTTTCTTGAGTGATAAGAGAGAAAAGAAATTTTAAATAATTGAAATCAGCAACTCCCATTTTGATCATTTCAATTATCTGACTCGCCCAAATTATTGAAATAATTGAGATCGGACCTCCTAATTTCAATTATTTCAATAGTTTGAATCGCCCAGAGAATTGAAATAATTGAAATCAGCACCTTAAATCTTGATCCTAATACTTTCAATTAATTGAAACAAATAACGCATTTCACTATTTCAATTATTTCAGATGACCAATCAACTGAAATAATTGAAATAATTGAAATCGACCTCATTTCAATTATTTCAATTATTTCAATTATTTCAATTATTTCAAATATTTCAATTATTTCAATTATTTCTAATATTTCTATTATTTCAATTAATTGAAATCCTGGGATTCGACGACTTCGATCCTCCGATTCACAAGACTTCAAATATTTCAATTATTTGAATAATTTGTGCCACCCACATAATTGAAATAATTGAAATCGACGGATTGGAGATCCAGCCCCTCAATCACACGATTTCAATTAATTGAAATAATTCAATCAATGAAAATATTTCAATTATTGCAATTATTTGACATGACCAAACAGTTGAAATAATTCAAAGCGCCCTCATTCCAATTATTTCAATTACAATTATGTAATTGAAATCGGTAGGATTAATGCCCCCGGCCCTACGAACCACCGGATTTCGCCCAAATAATTGAAATAATTGAATTGGGCGGGGTTAAAGGCATAACTCCTGAATCTCACGATATCAATTAATTGAAATACCTCATGATTTCAATTAACTAAAATAATTGAGATAGTTGAATTATTTCAATTATTTCCATGATTCGAGATGGCCAAATAATTGAATAATTGAAATCAATATCTTGACAAATCTGACAATTATTTCAACCAACAGAAATGCTGGGGTGTTTTGGCTAGGGCGCACGGAACCTCCAAGATTTCAATTATTTCAATTTATCCAACTGGGTGGTTTTCGCTTGGTGGGCTGGACTAGGGAGATCTATGGTGTAGGGGCCAGGCGAGCTTTGGAAGGGGGGAGGGAGGCTAGTAGCGCTTTCTTTTCCTCTCTATCTGCCTTCCTCTCCCTCCCTTCTTCTTCTCTTCCCCTCATCCTACGTCTGACTCCCCTCCATTGTCTCCCTCCATTAACCACATTTTTGGGTCCTATGTCAAATACTTATAATATTATTAAAAATGAATTAATCAGATTTTTCGTGCCACAGTATCACCTAAATATAACGCCATTTTATTTTTGCTATGTCACTGTGTCAAAGAATTAGAATGACACTAAGGAACGGATTTGTTAGGGGAGGAGGGGGGGGGCAGGAGGAAAGAAGAGAGCCGGGAGACTGCCCCGCCCCGACTTGGTCATTCCAATAATTTCTTATCCAATAAAATTTGGATCTTGGACCAATCTTCTTTGTTGTCATTTTTGTTGCAGATATCAAGAAAGTGTATAATATAAGACAATCAAAATTCTCGGAATAGCTCGTCGGCAAAATTTGGCCCAATATTCTCTGTTGTCATTCTCTTGATTATTCATAAGAAACGACAATAGAGAAGATTACATACATATTTGATGGCGAGCTAATATCATTCCCATCGATAATATCCAGAAAGCAAATATCATGAGACAACTAAAGTTCCGGGAACAGTTCGCCGGCAAAATTTGGTCCGATCCTCTCTAATATCATTCCCTTGATTATCGGCGAGGCTAGAGGCAAGGAAATGACAACAGACAGGGTTGTGCCGAATTTTGCTGGCGAGCTATGTCCGGAATTTTGCTTGCCTCAAGATATTTTCTTTCTTGGCTTTTCCGATGAGAATAACAATAGAACAGATTGGACCAAAATTTTGCTGGGCAAGAAATAATTCAAATGGTCTCCATATATTTGGTAAGATTTAATCCAATCTTCTCTGCTGATATTTTTCTAATTTCCGGTAGTTATCGGAAGGACATGACAGCAGAGAGGATTGGACAAAATCTTGGAGGCGAGCTGTTCCCAGAAATTTGGTTATCTCATATTCAGCTTTCTTAATGATCCCGATATAAATTAATAACAAAGAAGATCGAATCAAATTTTGCCGGACAAGAAATAATTGACATAATCCTCATTATTCTTGCAGAATTTGGTCCAACCCTCTCTATTGTTATTTCTTTAGATATCTACAAATCCCGATAGGACAGATTTTAAGAAGCGAATTATTCTCAGAACTTTAGACATCTCATAATCGTCGTTTTCTTAATAATATTAAGGAGAAAATAATAACAGAGAAGATCGAATCAAATTTTGCCAATCAAGAAGTAATTAAAATGGTCTCCCATATCCTCTCTATTATCATTTATCGTTTATATCATCCAGAAAACGTCGCTATTAGAAAGAACGACAGAGTTCGAGACAAAAGAATACCAAAGACCAACGAATATTGAAATATAGAATATATATAACTACAAATACAAATACTACAACTAACCCAACTTAAGACTTATTGCAAATTTTAATATATCTACTACCAATATATCAATAATATAATAATAATTAATATTTAAATACTACTCGTATGAATTGCTGTTGTTATTCGTATAGTTTGCAATTGTTCAACTTATTGTTGCTGAGGTAAATAAAACCCACTTCCGATGAGCGGGGGGGGTCACTGCTCGGAATTCCCCACCTTTTCTCCTTCGTTATTTAAAATTCTTATTGTCGTAATGTTATTATTTTTTTAAGACCTCCATATATATATATATACATAAATATATATAATAATATATAGAAATTAGTATTCTTTCGATAAATAGTAGAAATTAGGAGTATATCAAATATTTTTCTTTCCAATATGAATTTAAATAAGGCATATTCAATTTTTAATTCAAGGACGCGTCATCTTCCTGCCAAAAATATCGACGGGGTCATAGACAAATTGGACACATAGCCGCCCAGTCAAACAGACTAGTAACAACAGTGCAAACAGTAATCTTCGCTATGTTGGCATAGAAATCAAGGTCTATGAGTCTATGAGGTTCATGTGTTTGCCCATTTTCCTAAAAAGTTTCAGTTCCATGTGTGTTCGGAAGTATTGGGACACAGGCAGGCGTGCGACCCACAAAAGCCCGCCCCTCAGCTCGTATTGGCGTGTGGCCTGTCCTGGCCCCTAAATCTTGCAGAATTGTGGGCTTGCCGGGCCAATCGCTTCCAAATGTTTAGGGAAATCTTGCAGCCCCAGCGCGTTGGCATAATAACAGTTGGCCGCAGCGCTGGAAAGAGTAGATATGATATGCTCGCTCACATTTCATATTACTTCGGTTTTTTGAATTTATCTTTGTATCTTATCTATAAGCTCCATGAGGCCTGGTTTCATTCAGGGATCCTATGGAATCGTCCAATTCGACAGGTATTGAACACGAGGGAGTCCGGCTGTGACGAGCGATAAATTCTTCACCAAACTGCATTCCTTCAACATCCTCGTTCGGCCCCGGGGCCCCGCACACAGTATTTTTCGTTGCAGCATGCAGTTGCTGCAGCTGAACATGGCGTCGTGCTCTCGCGCTCTCGCCAACGTTCGAACGTTCGCAATCTTGCAAGTAGCATTCATTGCGTCGCTAAGTTCTTAGCTCTTCGGACCTCGGGGCTGTTGAGTGAGTCTCGGATTCCTGTCGGTTAGGGCTTCGGAATTTGGTGAAACTCAAAAAGCCTAGCTCCGTATAGTCTTGTGCATTGCCGCCTGCCGACATCGTCCTCCCACACAGCGCATGGGCACTTCAGCTGCGACTGCTGTTCTTTGGTGCTCAGACGGTGCCAACTGCGGTATGCATTTTGGACTCATCGGGGGGTGGTCTTGGGAGCCTCTGAAGTGCTTGCTGATGATGTCAGTCAATGACATCACGGATCGACACCTTTGTCATTTTTAAAATGCTTCAAGCTCTCTGGCCCTCATTGCCGCGGCGGGACATTGCAAGAAATTAGCTGGTTTTTCACACGGGCCGTTTCTGTATCCAATAGGGCCGGGAATCAATCGCACCCAAACGTCACCATAGAAGCCCCAAGCCAGCATGCTGTGAACGAAGAAGCTCAAAGCGCACAGGCGGGAGAGACTTGTCCTAGATGCGACGTGGCTAGTTACAACAGCATGGTGATGGTCCCACTGCACAATGGCTCCGGAACCTTTTCAGGTGCGCCACACTTTCTCGCAGAGGTGAAAATGCGTGCCGACGGCATGCAGCTTCGCCACAAGTGGCAGAGTCAAAGGCCGAGAAGGAGCTTTCCCTGACCAGAGCAATGAAGCTCCAGATTTCATTCTTACATCATAGTTTGCCCGCCGCCGACGTGCCTTTTGCAAGAACTGGAAGACCTGCGTGGCTACTTCCGCTTTCTCGGGGTTCTTGTCAGGATGCCAGGATCGCAACAGCGATCTCCACTCCTAGCACGCAAGCGCATGCGGTCCAGATCCTAACACAGGGTGGACATTGCCTTCATGCGCTGCTCTTTGGGCTCGACCTTCTTCAGGTTCTCCAGCTGCTGCAACACCTGACCCAGCAAACACGTCACGCCAGAACCGAAGGAGATGGGACCGAACACCGCCGAAAGAGAGCCTCTCTTTTGGCACTTTCGATTGCTTGCTGCACTTCTGAGCTCGGCTCCTCTGCCACTTGCGACCCAACCAGGACTCTTGCAAATGCGTGCCCTCAGACCCCTATCCTCTTTCTGCTCCTTGCCACTGCTTGAAGACACACACAGCCTGGCTTACTGGGACTTCTCTGGCTGCGGTGTCGCTCAGCCTTGCCAGCCCTTTGCCTACTCTTCCTGGAGCTCTTCGACTTTCTCTTTCTGGAGCGACTCCTCTCTTTCTTCCCTGCACATGGCAGCTGATCTAGGACAGCGTTATCGCTTTGGCGCACGACCAGGCCTTTCTTCTTTTTGTCTTTCTTTTTTCGTCGCTTCTTTTCACTAGAAGAGCTGTCGCTGCTTTCAGGCTCTGAACTTGCTGAGGAACCTGAGGCTACGTGACACTGCTGGGGCTACAGCTGAAGGCTTTTGCCAAAGGCTGCCGCTTTTGCCGCTTGGTGAACCACTCGGCTGTTCCGCAGCCTTTGCGGGCAATCCGGCCATGGCCCTCGAGCCTTGGCGGTGCACGGAACTCAGCGAAGCTTCAGAAAAGACGGGCTCCAAAGGCTGCGCCTGCGTGCGGGGACAAGCGCTTCGGCCTGAGCTGGTGGGAGGGGAACGTCTCCCACACGACGACAACACTTTTCCGAGGAGGAAAAGACAACACTCCAAGGCTCCAGGCGCCACCGGCGGTCTCGGCGCGCCGAAGGAGACACTGAGGCCTGGCAGGCCTGGGACACTGCCGCCGGCGACGCCCACGCCGGCGACGCCGGGAACGCCAGCGTGAGCGTGGGCCACGCCAGCGTGGCTGGCCAGGTGGGGACCAGTCCCCATGCAGCCCAAGGAAGCAACCCCGGCAACCCCCGCGTTTGGCCAGGATCCTGCGCAGTGCTCTTCACCAATGCTACCAATGCTAGCATAGCAGTGTTTACGCCGCTCCTCTAGCAGGAACTTGAGGCTGTGGTGTAAACTGTTGCGCAAAGGCTGGTGTGGGCACCCCTCCGAAAGCCGGGGCCCCTTTGCCAGCGAAGCTGGAACCTCCTTTGTTCCAGCCCTGGCCCTGGCACTTCAGGAACAAAAACCAAGACCCGCAGCAGCTCTGCAACAGCTTCTTGCAACAGCTCGCTCTGCAACATGCATGGTAAGACCGGCTCCGGAGTATAACCTGGAAGCAAACGCACACTGCACCCGGAAGCATACGAGAAATGAGATTGCAACGATGCCTCGGTTGTAGGCCATTGGTGCTATCTGCCCATCGAGTGGGCGCAAGCACGTGGCCTCAGGCGCATTCGGAGTGTAGAAATTAGAATTTGGACATGAAAACGCCCCGAGCGACAGGGAGGGGGGCGGGCGTTGCGTCACTCCTATGACTCTGTGTGCTTTTTCCGGCCTCTGGGGCAAGACCCCCTCTGAAATGGGGTGTCACATGGGGCTCTGAGCGACATTTCAAACTGCATGTGCGGAGCAGCTTGCGACATTTTTTGTTCACACCGGAATGCTCTGGCAAGCATTAAGCAACAAATGGCAAGTGGTCACATCACATGGAGGTCTGTGACGGATTCGCACCGAAAGGTCCAAAATGGGTCGTGAACCATTTCGGAACGCTTAAGACCCCAACCTCTGGCTGCTCCAACCCCCCCATTCCACGCCCCTCACTCACAACGTGACGGGACGTGAAAACTTAGCCGAGACAGCTTGCTCGCTGGCATCACAACTCACAGCAACCGCGACGACAATTGTCACATCACGACTTGCGCTTGGTGATCATCCCTGATTATATCCCTGATGTTGTGCGCCTGCGGCTTCCCATGCAGGCCCCTTTGAAGCACAAATTGCACAACAGTCCCGGCGATGTTGGCCGTCCTGGGCTGAAACAACACACCGATGGCAAGCTGTAGGCGAGTCTGCACATCTGTTGCGACACCTGTCCTCAAACCGTCTTGCAGACTTTCTCGCGCAAAGTACACGTCGTGGTCCACGTCTGGACCTGGACTATGTAGAGCCAGCCCCGGTACCGTTGTGTTGCGCAGCAACCTGGGGCTACAACACAAAATGAATCCGAAGCCTTTGGCGCTGTAGCTCTTGACGGTGCCGGTGAGCACAGTGCCTGTGGGAGACCCGGGGCAGCAAGTCCAGTGCACAAGCTCACGAAATGCCTAGTGCTGGTGGTCGCCCACTCCCGGATGATCCGGATGGCCCAGAAGACCTAGGTGGCAGTTTCAGTGGCGTTGACATTGTGTGTCACCCTCTCAGGCCACAACGGAAAGGATGCTCCATGTGGGAAGGGCGCGGGGCCCCCCCCGTACGGCGCAAACATCACGACATTTACAACATGTCCCGGGCCCGCTGCTTCTTCTACTGCTGTAGCCCTCTATACCCAAAGTTGGAGCCAGACCGCGACCAAAAATTGATTCAAGACTTTCTCGACCCCTGCATGTGGGGACTAGAGAGCTTGCGCCATGGTGCTTCAGCATCCTCAATGCGAAATCCTGAATAATGGGCCTGCCCAGACATGTAACCGAACTCCTTCGCCTGGTTTGCCTCAGAACTGCCAAAACATATATACATCTATATATCTATATATATATATTTATATTTATCTCTCTTCTTCTTCCTTCAGCTCAAGGCAGCGCGCGAGGCTCCCCGGCCCATGGGGCCCCCATCTCTCTCTCTCCCTCTCTCTCTCTCTCTCTCTCTCTTTCTCTCTCTCTTTCTCTCTCTATCTATATCTATGTACATATGGTCAGGCGTCTGGCGTTCCCACCCCCCCCCCCACACCCCCCAATGGTATGGTCTGGGAGGGGTGCGGGGGCCGGGCGGAGTCACAGGGGGGTTGGCGTGTGCGGAGAGGGCGGCTGGGTGGGGTGCTGTTGCCAAGGGTCACAAAAAGGGCAGGAATTTTAAGCAAGCCCTACGCAAAGCCATAAACCCTGTAACAACGTAGGGCGTGTTCCTGAACCTGTACACTGAACACTTCAAACCTTACACTCAACCCTAACCCCGCCTAAATGCAGGCTCTATTTATAAGCTTGAAGCAGAACATAAGCCGTCACCCTCACCAACCTGCACCCCAAACCCTACCTAAGCGCTTGTCGACTCGAAGGTTTGTAATTAACTTTAAACCGTAAACCCTCAACCCAAACTCAAAAGCTTAAGCTAGACCCTAAACCCCAAAAACCCACAACCACACCACAGGGGAAGCAGTGACCCCGCATCCCACCCACAGGGGGGGCATCCTGGACCATGGACCATGGGGAGGGAGGGTGGGGAGGGCGGCGGAACGCCTGACCCCATGTATGTATATATATATATATACATATGTAAATATATATATATATATATATGAAAATAAATACATATATGTGTATGATTATATATATATATATACATACACACATACAAGTATGTTTCACGATTTCGTGATTCCTTTCCTGCCGACTTATCCAAACAACCGGTATCATGTTTGAACTACTAGAATTTATCCGGACTCACTGCTGTCTCAAAAAATAAAAAAGTAAAACTACATCTACCTCTGCACCTGCATGTGCATTTTGTCGGCCCCTCGTAGCAAACAACGGGATCGCCGCGGCCAACTCGGGGTTTTGCAGCACTGACGCCAGCCCGTCGAGCGAAATGGTCGAATTGGACGGTTGGTCCTGCTCGCGCTCGCCCCTGCCCGTGCCTTCACGACCAGCTTGCTTTCCCTGCAGCCCCGCGGCGCAGCGGTTGTCGACGGAAATTCCCCGCTTGTCAGCGATCTCCTCGCTGAACCATCGGCCTGCCCCCCTCTAGCCAGCCGCATGCCCAAACAAAGTCTTTTGCATCTCCGTAGCCTAGCCCGGCACTCGGGATTTGGGCGGCCGGCCAAGGACGCGCGATGAGCAAACACAAATAGTTTTGGGGGCATGAAGAACCGGAAGCATGAGAGAAACGACTGACTGAACCAATAAACCCTCCAAACAAGCATGTGTGTTTCCTGCGCGTGACACTTGATCAATCATGCATTCGCTTATACTAAGCAAAATACATCCTGGTTAAAAATTTTTATCTCATCCAAAAGATTTGGTTGTTTCCGCCCACCCGTTTACAAGTGCAGGGTATGTCCCGCCTCGTCCGTCGTCTACATGTCCTACGCCGTCTTACGGCCGGCGCCGTCTGGCTTCAGAAGCATTCTAGAAGCTTGTTGCTGGACGACAGCTGGTTTGAATAACTGTTCGGCCCTTAATGATCCGGAGCCATGTCCTGAGCTTTGTTTTTTCATTACTCGCAAGCGCGAGATTGCGAAGTCTTTTCGTTTACCTGCACATACCTGCGCCAAGATTTACACGCAGAACGCATGCCTGAGCCGCGAAACCGCTTTGCCAAGTTTTATTTCCCCCGGCCTTTTCCGTCTGCACGACGAGGGTCCAGCTGGGTTCCTAACCTAACGCCGACTACGGCTAGCGCAGTGGCAGTCGGCTCGGCCCCGCTGCTTCGGTGAGGTCACGGTCCAGCTCCGAGCCCGGAAGCTGGCTCGCGCGTGGGGGCGCGGGCCACCGGCTTCCGAGCGCCGTGCTGCTCACTGCCTGCTGCACCGCTACAGCCAGAGTAGCCCACCACCGTCTCGTCCAGGCGGAAGTGGCTGCGGCTCGCAGTGCCGGCGGGGCCCGTTGGGCTCGAACGCGCACCAAGTCTCTGACGAGCCGCTGCGCTGCTTCGTTCCAGCGCCCGCCGATCTCGGAGCCGAGCACGAGGAGCCGCTGCGGGCCTCCGGAGCTGAGCTCTGGGTGGGCGGCTCGCTTGCGCCGCTCTGCAACCCGCAGCATGGTGGCCAAGCGGTCCGCACTTACAAAGGGGAGCTCGAGAAGCGACGAAGCGTCTACGCGACTTTTTAAATCCGCGGAGGCGCCCAGGCGCCCACGCGCCCTTGTACGTCCGCGAGGTCTGCGGTCGGGCAGCCGACGTGTTTTGCGACGCTGAAGAGGGCATGGGTCGGCCTGGGCATCGGTCAGACATGGGGCTCCCGAGGAGTGTGGCAGCGTAGGCGACCTGGGCCGCGACGGCGAGCACCTCTAAGACCCGGTTAGGTTATTTCCTGACTATTAGTCTGTTTGGGGTTTGGAGGTTATCTTTTAACTATTATCCTATTTCAAATAGCTTTAAAAATAGCTTGTTTGAAAATAGGATATAGTCTATTTGACAAAATAACCTTGGAAATTGGAGTCTATTTACCAAAATAGCAGAAGGTTGTTTGCTTTTTTGCTGGAAACAATGCTGCCTAAAGAGATGTTACGTAGAGAATGTTACCTAGCGATCATGCGACAAGCTACTTAGACCTACGGCAGAACTGAAGAAAGCTTTGCAGGAGCAGGCCAAACATGTGAGGCAATTTAGTTGGAGAGTGTTACCTAGCGATCATGCCTCATGCTACTTAGACCGAAGGCACAACTGAATTGGAGGCGGCAGCAGAAACATTTTGCAGACTCAGTCGGCAGAGAGTTTGCTCAGTCCCAGGTGCCAAGCCGCCCGGAGCTTGCTAACCATCTTGACCGTCACAGCTGGTCCTCTCAAGCCCCGAGCACAACTGCTCGCCAAACTCCGACTGATCTTTTTCGCATCTTCTCCTCTGAAAACCAGGTGAGCCCCAGGTTCAGCTGCCGGCAGAGCAGGGCGGTGTGCAAGACCATGTGAAGTTTCGGCAGAGGGGCGAAAAGCTTAAGGCCTTCTTCCTCGAAGTGCTTCCCCAACTCCAAGTGAAGATTGCACATAGCGAAACTGTACTTTATGAAGTTGGTGGCATAGGGCTCCGGGAAAGCAGTCTCTGCTCGGCACTCCTTCATGATCTTCTCCATGGCATTGTTGAGCCGCAGGTAAGTCCTGATCTTGCAGTGCACCTCAATATCAGGCTTCATGTGCTCCTGCCAGAGTGCCAGCAGTGGCTCGCCGAATGCGGAAATCTGACCAGCTCGCCCCTTCAGCTTGGGACACTTCTTCTTTCGCTGGAACATGGTCATCTTCCGCATACCGCGATACCGCTCGGTGACTTTGAGCTTCTTATAAGAGGCAAGGATGTGGTCCCAGCAGACACCAAGGTTCGCCAAGGGCGCATGAGGCAGCATATTCACCGTTAACAATTCCAGAATGTGTTACCAGGTATTCGGCATCCCCAGCCAAACTCCAGATAATTGCTCGCAGTCCATCCGCCAGTGGTTGTCCGGCCCGACGGGCTTCCAGAGTACCGTCGGGGTACCTCGATTGCTGTTGTCTCTAAGTCTGTAGCCCTCTGCCTTGACAAAGTAAGTGTTGGGCTTAAGGAAACAGGATGTCACCTGGAAGTTAGTCGATAATTCGAAACCTTCAAGAAAACAAAACCGGAAGAAAAAGACTGAGTTGTTAGAACACCAAAGCTGCTTAGCACCCAGGTGGTCGGCTGCTGGCCAGACTCCATCTGCCAGGCAACCAAAGGACCAAGTGATAATTCGAAAAACATCCTCTGTCGTCTCTCTTCCAGCTTCGGTCTCGTCGAAGCAGAAAAAAGCTGGCATCATGTTGTCCTTGGTCCACCCCTCTGCAAGCAGGCTGTTTCACGTGTACGAGGTAAGCATTCGGGACCATATTTCCCGACGCCAACGACCGGAGTCCCATCACCATGCAACTGCAATGGAATATTTCTTGTTGCATCGAAGGGGCTCTTGGCGACTTGGGGGTGCAGTCTAAAAGCCGGATGCTGTTTCTGGAGTTGCCAGAATTGTTGCAGTTTCTCCACTCCACCTGCCGGCATAATGTACGTTGCAAATGCGGCCGGGTAGGAGTGGTAAAGATCAGCATACGTGGCAAAAGCATTGCCTGAGGCAGCAAACGCCTGAGAAAAATGATTGTTCTTGTTGGCGATGTCCATAATCTCTTTGTGCATCTTATTCTGATACAGACCACCAGAGCCCAGGCCAGCCAAAGCTGCGATTTCACTGGGCGGCACGGCCCCGACAGCTTGAACATCCCTTTGGGAAGCAGCTGCCAGTTTCTGCACCACCTGGGGGCTCAGTTCACCCCAGGACCATCGTTCCAACAATTCATGTGCCAGACTGCTTGCAACCGGATCTGATGCACCTCTGGCCTCATTTTTCTGGATCCTCTGCTGCACTCCACCTTGCTTCAGCTTTTTCAGAGGGGGCTCCGTCTCCATGGCGGCGCCGCATAATTCCTACTGAGACATCGTGTTACTTAGAGCTCATGGTATAGTTGTCGGTTGGTTTGCTCTAGGTAACATGTGCTCTAAGAGACATGTGGCATGTGACAGGTAACATGTGGTCTAGACAACATAGGGCATCAATCCGAACTAGGTAACATGTGGCATCAGTGAAATCTAGGTAACATGTGGTCTGAGTAACTTGTGGCATGGGTCTAGGCAACATGTGGCATCAATCCGAACTAGGTAACATGTGCTAAGTAACTTGTGGCAGGAGTCAAAAATCTAGATAACATCTGGTCTAAGTATCTCGTGGCATGGGTGCAAAAACTAGGTAACATATGCTCAAAGTTGCAAGGAATATTTAATCTTTGGGGCAGCATGTGTCGTTTCATCTTACATCATTGTAGAGGTTCTCACATGTGTGTCATCTAGGTAACATCGGGTCCAGGTGTATCGATGTCTGCTAACGAGCAAAGCTGCGACCACGGAAGTTTTCTTGTGCAGCCGCGAATGGTCGGCGAAAAGCGCCGAAACCAATATTACCTAGAAACCATGCTACTTAGGTTCTCAGAGCCTGGAATGATCGGCGAAAAGCGCCGAAACCATTATTAGCTAGAAACCGTGCTACTTAGGTTCTCAGTATCAACATCGACACAAAAGTGAGGGTTCTGTGTGTGGGGGGCAGGCACCAGGTGACTGAGGGTGTGCATACAAAAAGGTTTTCAACACCACCATCTGAGCCTTGTTACTTAGGATAGTGTGCTCGGCAATCTGAGGCATGTTACTAAGGTTTCTGTGCTAGGAATGAGCAGGCACANNGGCATTTTGATGAAAGGGGCATACAGGCAGGTTTTGACTATGAAGACTGAGCAGGAGGCACTTTGTGACTGAGGGTGTGCATACAAAAAGAAAAAGGTTTCCAACACCACGATCTGAGCCATGTTACTTAGGATAGTGTGCTAGTCGATCTGAGGCATGTTACTTAGGCTTCTGTGCTAGGAATGAGCAGGCACAACTTGGCATTTTGATGAAAGGGGCATACAGACAGGTTTTGTCTATGAAGATGGAGCAAGCAGAACGAAAGTTCATACGTATAAAGATTTTCACCCTCCTCAGCCGGCAAAAACCCTTGGAAATCAATTGGGAACTGGCATACAGAAGATCATGCACAACATCACTGGAGACACACGTCGAAATGTAGAAACCACTTCAGAACAGCCACAATCTGGAACCCAAACTCCGAAATCTACGAACATTCTCAAGACCAGCACACAGAGCTTTCCGATTTTGCTCGCAATGCTCCAACCATGTGATCAGCCACAAGACTTTAACCCGACAACAGGATGTTCTCGCAGTGGAACCAGAATTTTAGAAGCAATGTATACTGCTGACAGCCTGGAAAGCGCGAGCAAGAACATCAGCTGCAACCCAAAAGCCTCGTGCTATGCTAGTGTCCCCACAGCCTCCTCCGGAACTCGAGGCTTCGTCCCCAGGCTGCTGGGCAGCTTCTGAGGATGCTGACAAAAGCAGCAAGCAGAACTTCGATGCCAGGGCCACACCCAAACACTTTCAATCCCCAAACTGACCCCAACACGACTATACTCCATGAGACCTACAAGCGAACAACCTAAACCCGAAACATGCATGGAGTCCTAAAAACAAAAAACCCCTGCCTCGAGCATTTTCAAGGGAAAGGACACCACGGTTTAAGGTTTTTAGGGTTTAGGGTTCAGGGTCTAGGGTTTAGGTTTAGGGTGTAGATAACCTCAGAAACCTATGTTTGTGGTGTAAAGAAGAGAACCCGGTAACCATTGCATGTAGGCTCTGGCTCTAACAAAGTTCGTTTTGCCGCTCCGGGAGAACTACAGACATGCCAAAATGTCTCGCCGACTGCATGTCTTTTCGGCCAAAGTGTACATGTTCAGGAACAAGACACCTATCAGCATGTTTATAGACTCTAGAACCAGCTTCTTGATAGATGTTACTTAGCATCTTTATGCACAAGTGAACATGAAAACTTGTCACGGGGGAAATCAGAGCCCCTTCCTGGACCTAAGGAGTGCCTTGAATTTCTCGCATTCCTCATTCAATGCAACAGCCTGATCAGCATGCTCCCGCATATACTCCTTGAAGGATGCAGTCGTCAGGGTACGATTCGTTGCCTTCGGGAATTCGGTCCACGTGAGCAAATGATCGTCTTGATCCATCCACTCCTTCATCTGGATCATATGCGGTTTGAAGTGCTCTCGGTCTTTGACCCGAGAGCACTTCCCGATCATCTTGGTGGCACCGGCATAGAGTCGGTCCATGGCAGCCTTGGCTTCCTGGAGCAGGCTTTTCTGATGATCTGTGAGTTCCTGCAGCGCGAGGGGCTCGGGCTTGGAGCTTGTGGAGGTTGTGAGCGCCTTCTTCTCTGGCGAGTTATCGAAGACGAACGTCATAGATCTGAAAGCCTTGTCCAGAGCCTGGTAGGTGTCGTCCGTGATTTCCTTGCAGCCACTCTGGCGATAGCCTGCGAAGGCGATCCCATCCTGCTGCCAATGCCCTTGCTGTTCTTTTCGAACAACTGGTTGATCAGAGATGTTTTCTCGGATCTTCCCTTAGACTTCCCTTGGCTTTGGCCAACACCTCGGCGATCTTCTCGGGGATCGCCCCCGAGTCGCTCATCCTCTTGAATTTGCGAGCCTTGGCCAAATCTCGCTTCTCGCACTCCTCGTCCTCGGCCCCGCTCTCCGAGTCCTGCTCCTGGACCACTTGGTCCGCTTCCTGCTCCTCGGGCTCCTCGTCGGCTGCGAGCTTCCACTGCTCAGCCTTGTCAGCGAAGCTTTCCTGTCTGGTAACCGGCTTCTTGTCCTTCTTCTTGTTGTCTCTGGTGTTCTCCTCCTTGTCCTTCTTCTTGTTGCCTTTGGGGTTCTGCTGCTTGTTTTTCTTGTTGTCTTTGGGCTTCTCCTCCTTGTCCTTCTGCTGTTTCTTGCCCTCCCCTTTGGCCTTCGCCTTAGCTTTGGCCTTACCTTTGGCCAAAGCTTTGGCCTTAGCCTTGGCCTTCGGCTTCTTGCCGGGCTTCTCTTCTTCCGGCGCTTCTTCCGGCCTCTTCTCAACCGGTTCCTCCGTCTGGGTCTCTTCGCCCTCGAGGTTCTCCTTTGCAGCCTTCCTTTTCAAGCCCGAGGTCTGATCCATGGCTACACCTCCTTTCCCCGTGATTCTTTTCATGCGGCATAGAAGCTCTGGTCTCTTGTAGCATGCATAGATATGTCACGCTCGCACTCACATACCCGACACCACTCTAGCCTGTTAGGTAGAGCAACAAAAAGCAGCAAGTGCAACGTCTCCAAGAGGTTTGTAAAAACTTAGGACTAGATGTTACAAAATTCGTCCAGACCATATTGCCTAGTGTTGTAGCAGGATGTTATTTAGATTGTGCCTCAGCACCATGGTACCTAGTCTTGCAGCAGTATGCTAAGTAACATTCTGTCTCAGCACCATCTTAGCTAGCATTGCACCAGACGAAGCTGCTACTTACCTTGTTTCTAAGCACCATGTTCTAGTTATGCACCAGGATGTTACTTAGATTGTGGCTCAGCTGGAGGTTACTTTGTATGGCAGCACCATATTACCCAGGTTCGGAGCAGTTTGGGTCCTAGTTCATTATGCGAAAACCAAACGGAAAACCCTCCGAAAGGAGTCCGGAAGCTCTGAAACCACAGAGGAAACACCAAACCGGCCCGAAAGTGACACTTTTAAAGAAAAACTAACACTTTCCATATACAAAAGTGTTAGTTTAGTACAGTGTTTTAGCAAACTAACACTTTTAGTGTTAATTTAGTGTTAGTTTCCAGGTGAAAGTGTTGCTTTAG